ATTTTCGCATGTAGGAAATATTTACGCGCAACCGTCAATCTCCCTCCACGCTATCTACTTGGCGCATTCTATTCATCGTCTCAACGCCCACAAGTTTCTCTCGCGTGTAGCTCAGCTACACGCGCTCTATCTAAGCGCAAAGGAGGGCACTGCTCAGAATAATGAAGTGAGCTGATCCAATTCCAATAGGGTAGTAGCGTCCAAGGCCAAATAGCGTAATATGCTCGAGAGCATGTGACGCTAGAGTTCATGACCCTTGATAAACCCACATTACACACTTATACTTCTAAACGTGTAGGCGAAGTGCTCTCTGCGAAACTTTTACGGTTCGTTACGTTATCGACGCTCTACAGTATTCTAATCTGTTTGGATTAGTTATCTCTCTCTTGACATTGCTCTGTTACGTGTACCTTATATGCCTGGTCATCCCATCTTTGATCTTCTCGATTTATTCTGATTCAAAAACAGCGTGTTGAAACTGTATTGACTGACGTGAGATGCCGGAAGAAGGTCTATCTGTTAACGGTAGGGTATCTTGAGTTCTAGAATCCTCCGCTCATTTTTATTATAATATTAAAGATGAGTAAAATTAAAATCAAATAAAGAAAAATGAATTAAAAAACCGAGATTAGTAACCGAAACGTTAGTGTGCGAGATAGTAGCGTTTTGTCTCGTCACGTAGCAGCCAGTCATGCCTTATCCTTCGGTAGGGCTCGGCCCCGCTGTTTAACTGGGGGCTCCCAGAATGCCGTAAACGTTAGTAGCGTTATCGACAGTCTGGCTGAAAAGAACTGGTATCTCGTTTAAGAATTTTTGTTGTAATTACAAGGACTTAAATATGGGTGATATGCGCGCACAATTAGAAATTTGTGATAGGAATCAGCGCAACAATTAGAGAAGTCCTGCCGTTAATTTAACAGCTTAAGCCGGGCTACGTGCGTAATACTTAATCGGATGTGAACACTTAGACATTACCAATCAGACGAAAGAAGCAATGACACTGAAGAAACTAAATGCTAAGTCCCAGCATAGTTCATGAGTCCGAAATTCAAGACTAATTGTGTATAGCGCAAATCAGAAAACTTATGAGAGATGAGAGTTGTGGACTGCGACTCAAAATATTTAAACACTATAGGTGGGTACGTCTTTAACGTATTGAAGATGGTCTCCCAGATGGTGAAGATACGGCAACGCAAGGGAAATATATGGGCCGGCAGTGCAGGATACCCATAAAAACAAATTACCACGTTATGCCGAATTAAAAGAAATTCATACGTGTTCCGACGTGAATTTACAGGTAAAGGTATATGGAAGCGTTGGGTGACAAAAGGAAATTGAATCAAGGGGTGCTGCGGGGAGGGCCGAAGTCCAGTGCGTAGCGGCAAAGGTAGTGACCAAAAACACATCGAGTATTGTAGGCGGTGGTGTGAAAAGGCATTGTGCGAGGCCAGTCTCAACGAGACAACACTGGCTGCGGGGGCTATTAGATAGCCGTGCATTGGTGCGCATTGGTGCTCAACGCCACTCGGTGGGCGGGCCATCGCTGCGCGGTACCATTCAGCGTAGGGCCCATTCTTGAGGCGGGGGGGCCATTGTGCGCCATATGTGACCAAGGACATGCATATGTGACTTGCTGGCTTAGTATGGCTCAGGGACATTTGTAGTTGATCTTACGGCTAGGGGTTGGAAGGCGACGGTCTATCTAGAGCGCAGTAGTTGGCCGTTTTCGAAGCGGGCCGCACTAGGAAGCTATACGCGGCTAGAAATGGTCTAGGGTGCGTTTCGCGCAGCACGACGTGGCGATTTAGCAAGCCGCTACTAATGACAATACATTAAAGTGAGCCTGCTCACAAATACAAGGAGCACAATACATGCCTCTCCATGACGCGCCGTGGCCGTAAGCGCGCTCACAGGCCATTCCAGCGCGCGCATATGTTCAATGGTCTCAGCACGCGACAGTGTCCGCCCTAGCCTACCGCTATACGGCGATCGTCTTAGACTCGCTTCTGACAGAAGGCCATCGAACTGACCGCCGCTCTCGGTCGCAGACGCTTGTTGGCGTCACGACTCGGTGTTGGTGCGCGAGCCTAATCCGAGTCGATTGAGTCTCGCGATCTGGGAATCTTCACTTGTGGAATAAAACGCGATCTGTAAGTCTGAATGAGAGAAGAAGGCGATTACAATGATAGAATAAAGTGTGAAAGTGCGTAGACGAGTCAGAAGAAGGTGTTTGCGAGGGGAGGATAGTGAGAGATGGTGGTGAGAGATAGAAGAGTAAGAGTTGGGAGAGACTGAGAGGAGAGGGGGAGAAGAGTGAATTAAGCATGGTGAGAGGATAGGAGAGGACGGGAGAAAAGAAAATAATTCGAGAGAGAGGAGAGAGGGTTAAGAATAGAATAAATGCATTAACGCTTGCTCAGCATGTAAGTAACCTCGACATCTAGTTTGCAGTAGTGATTTGAGAAAAAAAGAGGAAGAAGAGATTTGAATATTCCTCCGTCGCGTCTGCACTGCTGAAGTATTTATTTCAAACGTTATACATCTATATCTGTTTACTCACCCATCGAAGTCTAGTATATGCGCCTGAGCTCATTCAAAACAGCATAAACTACTCTTGTTAATATATTTGCGAAGTTGATTTAGTTATTCTGGCAGCGTTCTTTCATAATTTTATTGCCATAGAGTGTGCTCCGCGAACCAATGGGTAAAATGACTAATTCGAAAAATCTAACCCTCTCAGTCCACATTTAATATTTATTTAACTTGCTGTCTATTCGCCTCTTCCTGATTGTAATAACTAAATGAATCTATTTGGCATAGGCATTAACATTATCAGAGATATCACGATTTTTTTCAGTCAGCGACTTGTGCTCTGTTTCTACATCGTTAACACTCAAGTTATGGATGGCCATTGTAAATCCATTCAGAGTAGATATCTATCATTAATACAATTGATTGTTCTAACTGATTTACTAACGGCCAAATCATACCAGTTAACAGAATATATCATAACACGAAAACAAATTAACTCGATCCATTATAATTAAATATTATATTTATGGAGTTTGTATGTAGTTCATCATCCCTTTTACTTTACAAATTAACAAATCTCATGAAAACTCTATAAATCTTCGATACACATTTCAATACATGTGTATTTATAACGGACTGTGAAGATCTTCGATAATCTCGTAGACGACCATTAGGAAGGCGAAGTAAAGGCGTAAAATTTTACGTGATGCACAAATGATGTCTCACAGTAACTCTCACACAACGAAAAGGGGTGCATCTAATTTAATGTTCATCTGCCTTCATCCACACTCCTATACGGTTTCCAACATACACTGTTAAAGTTTAGAATACTCTCAATGCATGCGTATGATCGTTCTATAATCCAAATTACTCCTTCGTGTAGCGCACGATACTCCCGCCTCAAATTTCAGTAATGTGCCATAATGCTTAATCCCCCCACATACAAAAGTTTAATTAACCGCGCTCTCGCCCGAGTCTTAGCGCTCCAGCAGATTCTGTATTCTCGGAAACTGTCGCTCCAAGCACCAGAGACTGTGAAGTCCTTGTTTCTCGCGTGTTTGCTAACATCAAGATAGAGCGTACATTTATTCAATTCGTCCGTTATTTACGCGTCGTCATATCGAGTCTGGATTTCACGCGGCTCTCGAGACTCCAGAGAAGTTTACATTCGCATTAAAACTGACGAATAGCTCGCATTAGCGTGTGCTGTGAGCCAGAGCTAGCGCTGCAGACTTGGGATTAAGGATGTATGTATTTTCCGTCTTTGCAATGCTGTGTAAGCTGTTAATCAGAGTTTAGTGTGCGAGTCTGTTAGAGGGACAATTTTTGGCAGTGTGAAGTGTAAATGACTCACTTTGGGGAAAGTGTTTTCAGCAGCTATTGCCTTTAAGACTTATGTGCACGTAGAGGACCCCTACGCGAGAAATACATGTCTTGAAATTGCGTACATATAGTGAACAATAATTTCTCCAACAATTGTTACTTGTTCACTAATAGTAGAAACGTGTTACACTCTACAATTTTCCCTGTGAACAATGCACCAAATTGGAACATAGAAAACTTATTGTAATGAATATTAATAATATTTTAACAAATGGTCCATGACCATAATGATGTAACATTATAGTGCATATTATTTTCCACAATTTTGCTTATCTTATTTGTTCGAAATAAAGAGAATTGCACCAATATTCTTAACATAAATTAATCTCACTCGCTGACAAAGTCGCTCACAAAAGATGAGAACTAGCTAAAGATGGCAGTCCAATTGTTTACACCACACCCCTTACAGAAATACTTCCTTGATGAAATATGTTGTGTTGAAATAATTGACTAATACAGCATTATCTATTGAGTTATAAACAATGTGAGAGAGGCTGGACATTACGTGTTTGTGGTAACTAATGGCTTGATATAATAATAGTATCTCCACTTATAAAGGGCTTGATCTCTCGCCCTACGCATGGAATTAGGTACTAAACCTCACTGCCTGTTAATTGACAAGAATGAGGAGTTAAATTCACTATTAAATATGACTAAAAGGTCTAAACAGCAACCAAATAGAGAACCATCGAATGAAGTCTATACAAACTATATTGAATTATATCCATGCAACTCAGAAATGCCTCATCTGTTATCAAGTCATTTATTTTGACTAGCAAATAACCAATAAATTCATTTAACTAACGTTCCATTTCAAAAACAAACATTGGGTTTTATTGGGAACGACGAAAATCATGAATTATTGCGAAATTTCTTTTTCCTAGCAAATGAGTGTGTTCAATCTGGAAAACTCGAGGCAAAAATTCAAAAGTAACATAAACATCTTTTTAGCAGAGGCAAATAACAATTAACCGCACGCTGTACTCAGATAACATGTAGAACACGAAGTGCAGTTCATGCCAGTAGCAATATGCTACGATTCCCAAGATCATATGAAAAAGGATAAGTGAAATTGGAAGTAACTTCCGTTGATTGGCATTTAAACCACTGAGCTCACGGTGCGGCAGGCAGGCGAAGGCGCGCCAGCGGCCCGGCCGCACCGCGCCCGCCAGCCGCAGCAGCGCCACGTCGTTGTCCACCGTGTCCGCGTCGTACGCCGGGTGCGCCACCGCCTCCAGCACCTGCGCGTTCGTTCATTTCACGCCCAAATTAGATTACAGTTATTTAGGCACAAAAATCAGTAAAAAAACTGAAGTGAGGCTGATCCAATTCCAAAAAGGTGTGGTCCAAAAGAATAGCTATTGCTAAATGTGAAATGATTGATACCATGTGAAAACATGATAATTAAACTTAAAGTTAGAAGGGTGGTTTCCAAACTTTTTAAGTTAATTAGTTGTCGCTTATTTAATAATTTTCATTTATTTAATCTTTCATTGAAATGTTTTAAACATTACTTTATATTGCATCCCTGTATTTGAATTAGATTTCGATTTATCTAGTCAAAAAACTGTAAAAACTGTATGTGACGTATGGGGGAGAAGATTATCTGTTCACGTTATCTTGAGTTCTAGAATCCCTTTAGTGTTGAATATTTCGATGTTGGGGATTAGTAGAAAATTTTTTAATTTGGGTATAAATTAGTCTTTAATTAGAACAAAATTATGGGATACAATTTTTCAATATTGTGATAAATGGGTACGCTAACTTTACGGACATCTCCCAGACCGTCACTCATCCAGGTAACTGTAGCGTCTCAAGATGCTTAACGTCCGTGAATTCATAGAGGTAAGCAATCAGGCTATCGACGACCTTTTGTTCGTCTCACCTGCTACTAGTGATAAGAGGAACAGGATACGGAATAGATACTATTTATAGGGCAAAATATATATTTTTTTCCTCTCCCTCACCACAACTTCGAACCTCTCCACCCGTTCAGTCCAAGTCTATATTTCCCAGTAAGCCAGTATGAAAAAATCGAGAATTAATAAATGATTAAATGTGTAAGTGAATGAGATTGAAATACTTAATTCATTTACGGAACTGGATATTCATTTCTTTTTTTCAGGCATTCATAACGTGCTCGTCAAAACATGCCATTTTCCCAATATTGTTTCATGATTGATATTGAACTTCAATCTACATTTCCAGGCGTCCGGTTGTATTCTGTATATTACGGATCATAACATCAAGCACCCGATTACCGTGAACTTCCACGGCCGTTTCCTATCATTAAAGTGAAGTTCTCGCAGTATATTTTGTCGTTATTTTGATTTACATTTGTCGACCTCCAATTTGTCCCTTATATCACGATATCTTCGTAATCTGATCTGATAGCACATTGTCTTCTCAACTACAAATGTTGAATAATCTTTTCATCCTCGATATGCCTCGAGTGCAATTTTGTGATTTCGAATAGACCTTGAAATTTTGATTTACACATTGTTCGCCTCAGTTTATCTCGGTTTCTATCCAGTTCGTAAATAAGGATTCATGCGTTTAGTTAAAGACGGAATTCTTCTCTGTTCTTCTTAGGAAAATCGCACTTTTCCTCCAAATATTTTCCTTAAACTCATCTTCTTTCTTTGATCCAAATCCCAAAACTCCTTTATAGGTTGGAAATTGAATATTGTAAATAAACGAGCATTGTAAATAAACGGAAGTCATTCTCAATATTTCAATGAGCATTTTTCTTAACTTTTCCGTCAGCATTATGAGGCCTGAAAATATGAGCCGGCGTCACTAGATGAATTGCTTCATTACGCTCCGTTACGTGACAGAGGTTAAGGAACTTGAGACACCAAGGATTCCTGGATGACCGTCAGGGTATCTAACGGCGGCTGTTACAACCCTGGGGATCAAACGGCCCCGTGCCAGTGGCCTTAGGGATGAAAGGCAATGACTGACTATAGCTAGTAGTGACTAGTTATGGAGAATTACTGCAGAGTTCCGTTCGAAGCCACTAAAGAGCTTATAGAATGTTACGAACGTGTAACGAACTTAAAAAAAAGCATCACAAGAATTTCAAAGTTCCATAAGTTTAGCATTGCACATTGTAGGTTCTTACCCATCTGCATGAACAACACCGTGACACTATTAAAAACAACACGTGCGGGTCGGGGTGTACATACCTTGAGCTCCAGCTCTGTACCCTCGTGGATCGAGAGGTCGTGCTCCCCGATGCGCACGTACAGCCTCTTGCGCACGCAGTGGGCGGCAGTCAGAACCCAGCGCGCCGCCACCAGCGTGCCCCCGCAGAACGCCTCCTGCGCACACCACGCCACGTTCAGAAAGACGGCTACACGTTTGCAAAACAGTCAGTACACATTCAAAAATTAGATAGTTCATTCAGAAAGACGGCTACACGTTTACTAATCAGTCAGTACGGATTCAAAAATTAGATCGTTCTACAGTCAAGACCTCAAACCAAAGGAATACCACAACATCGCTTGCGATATTAGCTAAAATTGCTCTGGACCTCACCAGCAAGTTGCCGTAAGAGCGAGGTATTTATGGTCCAGAGAAATCTCGTGGCTGTGAGAGAGGCGAGATGTGATTGTTGACTTAACGTTGTTGCCGAGGGAGACGTGAATACAAAGAGAAACATTCAGAAGATAAGAAATTCCTCGAAAAGCTCTCAGCAACTCTGATACAATAACAAGGGTAGTGGCAATCAGCGGACGGCAAAATTCAAAAAATACTTAAGATAAACGCCTGAAATGTAGATCAATCAATATATGAAAGAAAATTGAATAACAATTACTTGCCCGAATAACAAGGATGAAACTCTCGGAGATTTAATTTCCCTTCCCGGGGTTATTAATTCTGTATATTTTTGAAGTAAGTTTCCGCTAGGAAACCACGCGCAGAAAATACCAATTGAGGTAGAAATTCATGATGTTTCGTTGCTTATGTATCAAAAAGCAATGCGCGATTCTCCAAGAGTTGTCTATGCTAGCATATCATTATACTATGTCATTATTTATGCCATTACACTACTAGGTTAATGATGAACAGTATTAGGAAATTACTTGCCTGTATATTGTTGTGATGTTGCGTGTTGACTGGTTGAGACATGACATTTCTAGTGATTTCTATTTCACATTCATAATACAATCATAGAATTGAAGGACTTAAGTCGAAAGTAACGTACTTCCATTTTCGTTTGTTTTCTAGTTTTACGTATAAATATATTCTTAAGACGCTTCTCTGTAATGCCACCAAGTATAATGTAAAAAAATTGCGTTTCTTCCAGGGTGTTAAACGGAATCGAAACGGTGTTTGTTAAACGGTACCGAAAATCGTTGAAACCCGTCTTTAACTAACAAGCTGAACGTAAATACTTTCCGTTCCTGAAAAACTATGTTCAACGGATGTGCGTGAGTTTGGAAATAGCTCTAGAAGTGAACAAACAAGCAACGAATTTGCGCCGTGTTTCTGAATCGCTCTAGTGTATGTGAGTGAGAGTGTTAAATGCAGCAAAACTTTCATTTACAAATTACAAATTTTTCAGAACCAGTACCTAAGTATAATCAACGTCCCTTGGTTTGTTACCAACGACCAACTTGACAAAGACTTCGAAACTCTAGCCAATCATATCATTTACCTTTTCTCCAACTTGTGCTTCTCCGTACCACATATCCCCACATTAAATACTCTTAACCGCGACCAAAATCCATAGCCAACCCAAATTCAAAACAAATTCCCCTTCCATGTATTCTTGGGGGGAAAATCGCTGAAATTGCAACTTAACAGAGGTGCCTATTTGGCTTATTGACTTCTATAAACTATATGTATGGCATATCGTTATACGGATCTATTTATTAA